AAAAGCACACATTTCAACCTCTTTAGTGTTAAATTAACTTCTTGCAACTTATCCAACATCTTACGAACATTATGAACATGCTCCTCCCACATCCTAAATCAAGACATCATCAATGAAATCAACAATCACCTCTAGTATGTCATAAAGAACCTTATTCAGCATTCATTGAAAAGTCATTATAGCATTGTTCAAACAAAATAACATCATTAAGAATTCATACAAACCAAATAGTATATAAGAAATAGTTTTGGGAACATTTTTTCAACCATCAGCATTTATTAGTACCCAGAAGTAAAATTTAACTTAGTGAATTAATAATTTTTCCTTAGAAAATCAAGAAATTCAACAATGTGAAAAGGAGGGTACATATATTGCAATATTGGCCCCCAAATAATAGGTCAAAGTTGAAGAAATCAATATATTTCTTCTTAATTGAGTTCAACATAAAGACTGTTAAAGGAATTTGAAAAGGGAATAAAGGAGTAAGATGGAAACACAATATGAAGTAATAAAAAGATAAAAGTGATAGAAGTAAAAACAAAGGGACAAAATAAAATACAAGTGAGAAGAATGAAAAAAAATGTGAAGAAAATGCAACAAGGTGAAAAACTTCAAAGACACAATTAGTATTACAACCAATTCATACTAATAAGGTTAAAAGTTTGACTTGACACCACCCAAAACGACTGAATCTCAAGCTCAAAATCACCTCATCCCACGGATATACATGTGTACAACCATTGTTATAAAAAATAAAAATTAACTCTACCATATAATACAACTGTAGATGGTAGTGTGTGGCAACAAGTTGAGCAATATAAAAGAAATTTAAGCCTATATCAACCAAAATAGAGAAAATAATAGAGGACTTTTTATTATAAAAACAAGCTTAGAAAGTAAACACTAAATGAACTAATACTAAATGATAGTACTCTTGAAAGAAGGATGGAAAGGTCACTAATTTTTTCACTACTTGCAAAACTCTTTACTTCCTAAAAGAATTTTGATATCAAAACTTTCCACCTATAGAACAATTTTGATGCCAAAGCCTCTATCTAGGAAATAAGAGGACCCTAATCTAGAAAATGCTAACAATACTAATAATTTTGGCTAACCTCCTCATATATCTAGTAATGAATATCACGACCACAACTATGTCCTTGCTCTTGTCCTTGAACATAGAAAACAATAATGCCATCCTTTATCAGAAGAGGATCATTTCCTACATGAAATAGAGTGGAACTATTTGCAGTGATAAATGGGAGAAGTGATATTTCATAACTATAAGGAACCAACTCGCCGAGGTGTCGTAGGCTAAAGGAACCCCGAAAGTATGACCAAAATGACAAAGAGTTCATCGGATGGGACCAAGTCAAAGATCGAGTCCAAGACCGACTCAGAGACCGAGTTCGAGATAGAGTTCGGAATCGAGTCCGAGGCCGGCTCGGGGACTGAGTTCGAGACCAAGTTCGAGATCGAATTCGAGATGGAATCCGAGATCCAAAATTGGGTCCGAGACCGAGTCCGAGGTCGAGTCCGAGGTTGGGTCCGAGATCGGGTCCGAGATCGAGTCCGAGATCAAGTCCGAGACCGAATCCAAAGTCGGATCCGAAATCGAGTCCGAGATCGAGCCAAAGACTAAGTCCAAATACTAATACGGGTCAAGGGGTGAAAGCCCAAAGCATGCGTCTCCCAGGGGGGGGGGGGGGGGGGGGGGGGCTCCCGGGGGTTCCAAAAATATAATAGGGAAAGGGGGGCCCCGGAACCCGTTTAAAAGGGACTCTCCAGTGGGGCTCCCAAACTGACTTGAGGTTGGGACTGGGACCGAGGGGCCTTGGGTGGGAGTGAGCATGGACTTGGTTGGTGACGGAGGGGCCATCCAAGGAAATGCTCAAGAGCAGCTCCCACTCCCGAAAGGGAAACCGATTGTGGTGCTCCCAACTCATGTGGAGTGGTGCCCCACTTGAGTACCATGCGGTTCATTGGTCCTCGCCCTTCCTAAGGGCTTGGGCCTTCCTTCGGGATGGAAGTGGGGGGGTAGAAGTACCCATACCGGGCCGCTACGCCACGGTGTTTCGCCCCGGCATCCCGAAGCAAGTGTTGCACTTAAGACTTGGGATTTAGAGGGTCCCATGATCAAGTCTTGTGGTACCAAGGGATGTTAGGAACCTGGAAGCTTGGTGTGCTGGCTACTTGTGCTTGCGGGGAGTGTAGCCGAACCTTAAGTCCAGTCTAACCCAGGGAGGGGGATTGGGAATGATTTGGGAATCCGTGGATGGATGGCTAACACTCCGTTGCTTGTGCAGTGAGTAGTTGAAACCAAGTAGAAGCTGGTACCATAGGCAAGAACCTTGGCAAGGGAACTTAGCAAAAGCCAAGGCAGTGTTGGACGGATAGACGAGGTAAGCTGGCAAATTGGAAAGGAAAAATTTGTGGCTTACAATAACATTGTGTCAATCGAAGAGTGTTGTAATGAGTGACTGGAATAAGTGCATGCATAAGTCCCATAAAATTTTGACGATGTGTTAGCCACAATATTTCCAACTTTATCCATTTTGAGCTCTATACAAACTAAAAGGCTCCAAAATTGAACTTTAAACTGCATAATTGACTTACATAACCCTTAATGCAAATGATGCAATTGCTAAAGGGCATTATCATATGAGTAGTTATGCTCAAACCATTATATCACTACAATACCATCCTTTAAAGATATTAATCTAAACTAAAAACATAAATACCAACATTTTTCAATTACCCCTCACCTCCATCAATCAATGTGAGTGTATATAATATAGAAATGAAATATAGAAAATCTATCAATAGCTCAAAAACTTCAATTTATATACAGAATTGAGTGGTCTAGATTAAAACCAATTCAACAGCTATTAAAATTATACAATGCTATTATTAGTATATAGTATTGCAGCTATACACTTTGGATCTCACATTTTTTAATATCATTTTTCTCAAATATATAAAAATTATATTTTAAAATGCAATTCTTTAAATATTTATAATAAATTTAATAATATACTAAAAGAGTTTTTATATATTAAATAAATGTAATAAACTGAGAAGTGACCTCAAAGGGGTGAGAGAGCATAAGGAAAGGATCTAATTATTAATAATCCAATTTATTGTAAGGGTGTATAGTCTTTCAAGCTAAACTTTTGATCCATTGGAAAAGAAGTATTAGATTGGTAAGAATGATTAGAAGCATAGTAATGAACAACTTACACATGAAAAAAGTAATAGTGAACTTCTTCATGGAGAGAATTTAAGTCAATAGTATGAGTAACAACAATATTATTTAAAAAACTAGGTGCTAGAAAAAATTAATAAAACTAACAAGGGTGAAGGTTATAGTTAATGAAGAATCCAGAGTGATGTAAACACATGGTCTTGAAGAGTGTTAAGAATTAAAAAACTTAATAAAAGGAAATAGGTGGAAGATTGATAAGGAAATCAATATTGATAAATTTTTAAAGCTTTAGAGCAAGAGGAAGGGGCTAAAGATCATGTTAATGCATTTTTGTTTATTAATATATAGACAAAATTTTCAACATACTTATTAAAGAGTATATTCATCATTAGTGTAAAAGTTTTGTTTATGGGATTTGAACTTAAGACTTCCTAAACACATGGATGGCCATCTATAATATGAATCCAGAGCTAGATTAGGTTTTTAAATTAGCTCAGGGCTAAATTAAATTAGTTTCTAAAGACGGTTTCAGAGAATTATCAAGTATATAACTGAATCATAAGGCTCTTATGCATATGAATTGGTAACACAGACTCTTGTTATGAATTGGTTACAATATGTAGAGTTAAAAATGCAATGTTTATGCCCTAAATTTAAAGCAAAATTATCTTTATTACTTATATGTCACTAATAATAATTTGCTATGCATTGCATGTAGCAATGTTTGGTTTGCTTAATAGTAGTGTTATTCCTACTTGTTAATCCAATTGATCAAATAAAAATTTATATTTATAAACTCAAGATTAATCTTATTGCATATCAACCATTAGATGGTAGAATAAAAAAAAATATACTAGGAAGTGTTTAAGCAAGTTAATAAATTATAAATACAAGATTAATCCAAATGAATAACAACCGTTAGATGGTAAAATATCCTAGAATATCCAAGTATATTTTAAGTATACCTAAACAAACTAAAAACAATATTTATAAGCAGTATAATATTTTAAATTTTTATATTTTAGGTATGTCCTAGATAAACAGATAAAACAGTATATAGATAAAACAGGTAAATAGTTAAGACTCAAAAGGTGTAACAGTGCTGAAAAAGGAAGATTTTAAGAGCTTCAGCAGTAGATTATATTCTCTGGTATCACTAAAACATTTAGTAAGAATCCTTATCTCTAGGAGCAATCACTTCTCTAGCAGTTCTTGGGTGAGGACACAAGTTTTAATAAGGAAATTGACCTGGTCGTGCAGATGGATAATAGAGAACCATTGTTTAGCATCCTTTCATTTAGATTCAAGCTACAACACACTCATGAATTTGGTAATATGTATGGATCAGTAACAAGATCCTTAGCTTCAAGGCCATGAGTGAAAAGATGGCTGGGGTGTTCTTATGAATTTGCAGGATGTATGGATCAATTGGAGTTGACATGGTGGTATTACAATTGGTTTTTAAATAATTTTGATGATCAAGTCTTTCTCAATTATGGAGTCAGTACCTTTGTGGTTTGCTGCATGCAGTGGGTGAGTTCTTTGTTTACTCCATGCAGTGTTTCAGAGGGCTTGGTTTAGCATTCATTCAGTCTAGCTTTTGAGGAGTTGAATTTGAGGGAGATTGTGAAGACCTACATACAAGAATATTTACTAAGATAACTGTAAACATGATTTAAACTGTAAGTAAACGAATTAAATAATGTTTAAGGAGTAAGTTAAAAATTATTCTGGGATATACCTAATTATTTTGGGTATATTCTCTTTAAATGAAAGTCTAGAATCTCAGCAAGACGCGGATCCACTTTGGCGGCCACGTGGAGTTCGTGCTACAAGAAAGCCCTTCAAGCGACGACAGAATGCCGGAATCCTGAGCTCACGTCTCGTCCACCAAGGTTTGAAGAATTCTTTGCGCGCAGCTCGGGAAATTTCTCGCGGATAGATCAAACTCACATTCCAGGCGAGCACAGGATTGTCACAATTCGCATGGGAACCGCGGCGCTGGAGCCGCCACTAGGGCATCACCAGCAGCAGCAGCAGCAGCAATCTCTTGTCCGCCCCCAGAGCTTGCAAATCCCAGGAGCTGCCTCGAAGATCCTGGTTCCGGAAGAATTTCGATGCCCTATCTCCGGGGAGGCGATGGCCGATCCCGTGATCGTCGCCTCGGGCCAGAGCTACGAGCGCGCCTGCATCCAGGAGTGGCTGGCACAGGGCCGGAGCGATTGCTTCAAGACCAAGGCAAAGCTGGAGCACACTTTCCTCATCCCCAACGTTGCTCTCAAGGCCGCCATTCTCAACTGGAGCGCGGTGTCGGGCATTTCCTCCCCGGAGGTGGTCTCTTCCTCTCGAGCTACAGATTTGGTGGCGAGAAAAATCGTCGAGGAGAGAAACGCAGCAGTGGCAGCAGCAGTAGCAGCCGATGGCGATGGCGATGGCGATGGCGGTGGTGGCCAGGGCCACGATCGCGTCGCCGTTTCATCCGCGAGGTACGTCCACTCGGCCACAGGAGCTAGCTTACGAACAGATATGGTGGAATGTGGGAGATCATCCGTGCCCCACCCGCTCGACACGAATCCTCGCTCGCTGGAGGAGGACGAGCGATCCTGCGCCACCATGGATCCCCGCCTCGTCCCGGATCTCGTCCGGCGATTGAGCAGCAGCAGCAGCAGGGGCAGCAAGGATCAAATGCTGGCGGCCTCGCAAGTCCGGCAGCTCGCCCGCGAGGGGACTTTCAACCGCCGGACTCTCTGCCAGGCGGATCTCCTCGAGGCGCTGGTGGCGCTCTTGCAGTCGCCACACAAGCCGCTGGTGATCCACTCGCTGGCCGCCATCCTCAACCTCTCGCTGGAGGTGGACAACAAGCTCATGATCGTGAGAGCCGGCGCGACGCCACACTTGGTCCATGCTCTCCGCTCGAACCAGGCCGAGATCCAGGAGCACGCCGCCGGGGCGATCTTTAGCCTAGCGCTCCACGAAGACAATCGCTTGGCCATCGGCGTGCTGGGAGCGATTCCTCCGCTCATCGAGATCTTACGGCCCAAGAGACCGCGGCAGCAGCAGCCTCCATCGCCGAGAGCTCAGCAGGACGCGTCCATGGCACTCTACCACCTCTCGCTCGCGCAGCTCAACAGGGGCAAGATGGTCAAGGCGGGATTGGTGCCGATACTCTTGAGCATAGCGGAAGAACAAGGTGGTGGAGCTCGCCACCGCGAAGAACAGGGGGCCGGGATCCAGAGCTCGCACGATCTGGCCAGCCGCTGTATGTGCATCCTCAGCTGCCTGGCCGCGAGCTCCGATGGTAGAACAGCGCTGCTGGAGATCAACGGGGTGCGCAGGCTCTTCGCGCTGCTGCGAAACGAGAGAAGAAACTCTCCACCATCGCAAGGTGGCGATGGCGATCACGACGAGCGCGAGCTCAAGGAGCACGTAGTGGCGGTGCTCGTCCACCTCTCGAACCACAACATTCGTTTCAAGCCGCTGGCGGCGGAGGCCCGCGGCGTGGAGGCGCTGGTGGCGCTGGTGGACAGCGGCGCCGCCACCAGTCGTGCCAAGGAGAAGATCGTGACGCTGCTGAGCATATTAAAGGATCCACCTTCCGGGGTCAACTCGCCGTCCTTTACCTCCTTGGGGGAGCCTTTCTTTCCTCGCAGCTATGGCGGCCGGCGGCATGGATTGGGAGGCGGGAAGGCCGAGTCTTCGCACTTCTAGTGCTTTGGCTTGTATTTTGACTTGTAAAGAACTGGTTTTTATAGAGCGATCAATGGCAATTGGTGTATTTACAAAGAAAAGAATGGAAACAATCGTGACTTGTCAGGAGTTTTCCTTTTCTTGTTCCGTCGGTTTGCTCGCAAAGACAGTCGGGACGATCGAGACGAGGCCAATAAAGAAGAGTGTTGCGATTGTCTTCAAGTCGTAGAGGTCTCGCAGGGATTGGAGTTCACCCAGTGCCAATCCGGCCTGGCATGGAAAGGAGGGAACGTTATTCCGGGAGAAAAGAGAGATTTTGATGAGGAGTGTCACTCACCCGGACCGTGACGAACGCGGCGGGGACGAGACCGATCGCGGTAGCCCAGAAAAACGTGTCGAATGGAATATCTACAATCGGAGACGCGACGTTGATGAATGTGTTTGGAAGCGTTGGAGTGATTCTCAGGAAGAGCATGTAGTTGAGAAGCTTGTCTTTGCGTTTCGCTACCTGGAGAGACGAGAAGCCGATGCTTGATCAAGTGGAAGCGAAAGAAGTGGAAGGTTTCTCACCTCGTCTCTAAAGAAGGCGAGCTTGTCCGGCCACAGCCAATTCAGCAGTGGCCTTCCAACAAGCTTGGAGAGGAAGTAACACGAGCAAGCACCCGCGGTGGCCGTGGAAACCACGAGAAGAAGGCCGTAGTACTCGCCAAAGAGCGCCCCCGCGAGCAGCGACATCAAGATGGTTCCCGGGATCATGAAAGTCTGGAGAAAAACGTAGCTCACGACATAGCCGAGCAGCACTTGCAGCGTATGATCTTGGGCATAGACAGAAAGATACTCCCTGGAGTCGAAAAGAGTGTCAAACTCGAGAGAACCGAAAGGGAAAAAACTTACGTGAGCTTTCGAAGCTCTTCCAAGGTCCGAGGAAGCTTGAAGACGTCCCGGTCGGCGTCTGGCATCGTCAAGAAGATTGCTATGAGCCCACCAACAAAGACGGTGAAGAGCGCCACCACAGCCATGGTTTCCAATCTCGTCAATGGAAAGCTCGATTCGTTTCTAGCCTCCCCATTGTCACTATTTGCTTCTTCGGTGGAATTGGATTCTCCCTTCTCTTGGAGCAGTGGATCTAGAGTGCTAGGCGCAGTAGCAGCCGGGATCCAGATGCTAGGCAGCGTGAAATAACCAGACAAGAAAGAGCTCCCGGTCCTCATCGCGCTGGGGATTGCTAGATTACCTGGAGTGGCTGCTCCTCACGATCACGATTCGTGGTAATGGCGCATCCCTAAAATCTTCCAGGCGTGGTGGAGCTCTCTTGCTCCATCCACTCAACCTAAATAAGAAGCAAAGGCCGGAATTTCGTCCCAGAAAAGGCACGCGAGATTTGGGATTTTAGGGTTTTAACTGCTCTCGCCATTTGGCAATGGAGATTGATGGTTTAGGGAGCGAGGAGCTCTTCCGCGCGGCGGAGGCCGGCGACGCCGATCCATTCCGGAGGATCGACCAAGATCACGAGCTCGCGAGGATCCTGGCATTGAGGAATGAGGACGAGCGCAGTCTGATCCACGTCGCGGCGGGATCGGGGCATGTCGAGGTGAGGAAACCTTTCTTCCAATATTTCTCGGGGCCAGCGAAGTGATTTTTTCACGCAGATTGTGAGGATTCTTGCGGCTGCTGGCCCTGGATCGGTGGATGCGAGCGACGAGGAAGGCTGGACGCCGCTGCAGTCTGCTGCCAGCAGTGGTCATGCCAAAGTTGTGGAGGTTTTGCTACAAGCAGGCACGCATTCTTTCTTTTTTACTTCCTGTTCATCCTCTTCGTCATTCTTCTTCTTCCTTCTTTCATTTCACGAAGGTTTTGCTTTGCGTTGCTGGCTTTCTCACTCAGATGCCATTCCAGGGGCGGACGTACAGAAGCAAAACAATGGAGGTCGAACTGCTCTTCACTACGCTGCCAGCAAAAATCGCGTCGAGATCGCTAGAGCATTGATCTTGGCTGGTGCGAAGATTGACAAAAAAGACAAGGTTTGATCGTGTTTCGTGTTCCATTTGAGGGATTTAACGCTGTAGCAAGCAGGTTGGATGTACACCTTTACACCGAGCTGCTAGTGCCGGGCATGCGAGTGTGTGCGAGCTCTTGCTCGAGGAAGGCGCAAATGTTGATGCCACCGATGGACAGGGCCAGACACCTCTTATGCAGGCAACAATTTGCGGTAACGACCAAGTAAGCGCAGTTCTACTTTGCTGTTCTTTTTTTTTTTATTGATAGAATGCGCTTCCTGAACGTTCTTCCTTGCTGCTGTTGTCTGGAAGGTGGCCTTTCTTCTACTCCGCAATGGCGCTGATATTGATATCGAAGACAAAGAAGGCTTTACTGTTCTTGGACGGGCTCCTGACGCACTGAGATCGGCTCTTGTAGATGCAGCTAAAGCCATGCTCGAGGGTTGACGACGTGTATTCGTCAAATCGAGGTTCTCTTTTCCAACCCTTTTTTGTTCCTCTATCTCTATCCTATGACTTTTTCTGATTTTGAAAGAAGCTCCTGCCGCGAAAGACCGGAGGTTTTAGTAGGTTTGGTATTCGAATGGCGTCTTTGGTGACTCTGGTAGCAGTGGCAGTGGCAGCTCTCCAAGGCCTAGCAGCAGCAGCAATTTGCCCGCTTAATTTCGGGGTGCTTGATGGCTTCAGCTGTGATCCCGGCGGAAATTCATGTGGAACGTGCTCAGACGCATGGAACAGGCTGAATTTTGTGGTAGCGGAGTATGCTCGAAGGACACAGGTGTTCTTGCTCCCTCAGCAAGATGCCAGCGCTTGCATCGATGAGTTTAAGATGGAATTACCGGCTATGGGACAGGATGCGAATTTGAGTACGGCATGTGGAATCACCGCATCAGTGTTGATGGAGAGCTCAGCAAGATGTCCGCAAATAAGAACAGTGGCGGATTATCGACTGTCCATCACTCCAGAAGCACTTGAGGAGTTGGATTCAGCATGCAGTAGCTTTTCAACACGTCCGGCGTGTGGTAGGTGTGTTAGCCGTGCAACTTCGGCGAGTTCGACGGCAGAGGAGGGCTGCTTGAGGTTTTCGTTTATTTACGCGGCAGGTATCGCTAGCAGAACAGGGCCTCTGGATTCGATGGTTGCATCTTGCCTCTTCTACTTGAGAGACGCAGATGCACAGGATCAGCAACGTCGAAGGAGGGTGATCATTCTATCAACCGTGGTTCCGGCCGGTACGATCCTGGTGGTTTTGATCATAGCTATCTGGTATTTACGGCAAAGGAACTTGCAGCTACGGGATAATGAGCACAGCGACAGAACTTTCAGGATGATGCACGGACCAGTGAAGTTCAGTATCCAAGAGCTGAGGCTAGCCACCGCTGGATTCTCTTCTCGAAACAAGATTGGATCTGGAGGATTCAGCAACGTCTTCAAGGGAGTTCTGGGGGATGGAACTCTGATAGCCGTCAAGAGATTCAAAAACTGTAGTTCCGCAGGAGATGCGGAATTCATCAACGAAGTCGAAATCATCGGCAGCGTTCGCCATAGGAATCTGGCAGGACTACTCGGTTGGTGCGTCTCTAGCAGCTCCGAAACACGGCATGAGCGGTTCATTGTCTACGAGTTTATGCCCAACGGCAGCTTACAGGATCATCTCTCAGTGCCTGGCCAGAGCGTGATATGTGAATCGTGGGAACTCAGAAAAGCGATCATTCTCGGTGTTGCTCGAGGCCTGGCCTATTTGCATGGTGGTGCTGAGGCGAGAATCATCCACAGGGATGTCAAGAGCAGCAACATCTTGCTAGACGAGAGTATGACTCCAAGAATCTCGGACATGGGGCTGGCGAAGTTCGTGCCTGAGGGGGTGAGCAGTTTCAGAACGGGCACTGTCGGCACGCAGGGATACGTTGCGCCAGAGTACGTGCTATACGAGCAGCTTACAGACAAGAGCGACGTTTACAGCTTCGGGATCGTGATGCTGGAAGTCTTGACGGGAAACAAGGCGCTGGTTCCTCCCTTGTCGACACCAATAGCAGACTGGGCCTGGGATTTAATCCAGAGGGACAAGCTGTGGGACGTGTTCTCTGGAGTTAAACTCGCGGGACTGGACGAGGAGTGCTTGGTGGAGATGCTACGCTTCCTCTTTGTGGCGTTTCTCTGCGCCCATCCTTACGTCGTTCACAGGCCCAGCATGCTCCAAGCTGTGAAGATGCTCGAGGATGGGACGGGTGTTCCTCAAAAGCTTCCGGAGAGGCCTCTTGGATTTGAGGTGGTCGGGAGCGGTGCTTTCAACACCGAAGCATTCAGCTTGTCAACGATCAGTAGCAGGGAGTAACTTCAGCAGAAGGCGAGGATCTGGATATTCTTATGACCGTTGGGATGGACGGCTAGGATTACTCCCGCTCTTTTACTAGCTTCTCCCGGTCTCGAGGATCTCTTCTAGGCGGACGAACGAAGGGCGCGTAGGGTAGAGCGCCGGAAGAACAAATTCCGATTACCAGGTAGCTACTTCCTCCTTGCGGCAGCGTTTGACAGCGATTTTGCAGCAGCGGGCACGAGCGGAGGAGTTCGTTGTTTCCGTAAGAAAAGCTGCCCTCTTTCGACGCTCACCGGGAGATTTCTTCGTAGTTTGCTGGAGCGCTCGCCATCCGACGCCGATTTAGCGCTGAAGGACACCACGGCGGTTGCGCGGGTCCTCAAGAGCAAGGATTCGTTCTTTCCGTAAGAATCCGTAAGAAACACAGGCAACTACTTTCCACTTCGCTGCGGTGCTCTCTTCCGTAACGCTGAAGACTCTAAGGTGGGGAAGAATTCGTTCTATCGCAAGAAAAGCTTCCTGGTTTTGCTCTGATCTATCGACTTTAACTCCGGTCCGGTGTAGGATCCTCGATCTGCAACGAAGAGAGGTTCTTTCTCGAGGCAGCAAACAATTCCACGTAAGATCATTCAGTGAGCGACATGGTTATCTAAGTTTTTCGTTTTTCTTGACCAGATTCTTTGAGGTCCGGTCGTGATGCATCCAGATACAGACGAACGACACACAAAAGGACCAGAAGAAGCTCTCGCATGGCTGGATGACCTCCTCGCTCTCCAAAATCTCGAGAAATGCTCCTGTCCATCCGGTACGTCTGTTCACCGTCGAAGGATGGTGCTGTTCTGCATCAAGTGCCGCCAGACCCTGTGCGAAGCCAAGAAGTCCGAGCACCGTCACGGCCACAAGCTTCTGCACCTGCGGAAGATTTTTCGTTGCGTGACGGTCAGTGCACAGGACATAGGAAAGGTGATCAACGTCCGGAATGTGCAAGTCAGCCCCGAGAGGGACACCATACATCTCAACCGTCAGACTCCAAGTTTCCTGGGGCAGTGTATGGACTGCTCGCTTCTCTCGGATGACTTGTACTGCTCGATCTACTGCAAGAGGAAGCAGGCGTCCCTGGAACTTGAAGGCGAACCAGAAGAAGACAAACCAGTCGAACCAGAAGCAGGCGAGCCAGTCGAACCAGAAGGCAAACCAGAAGGACGCGAACCAGAAGGCAAACCGGAGGGTGGCAAACCAGTTGAACCAGAAGGCAAACCAGAGGGTGGCCAACCAGTCGAACCAGAAGGAAAACCAGAAGAAGGCAAACAAGAAGGCGAACCAGAAGGCAAACCAGAAGGCGAACCAGAAGGCAAACCAGAAGGCGAGCCAGAAGGCAAACCGGAAGCCTCGAGTTGCTCTCAAGAAGAACGTCCAGGCCCAGGGAGCTGCGTTCTAAAGGGAAAGCGGTCTAGGCGCGAGCGGAGACAAAGCATGGAAGCCGGAAGTTTCGCTAGAGGCACTGCTGAAGGGGACTGGTTTTACTACAGGCCGGGCTGTCCATACGCTTTCGTCGACCTCGAAGCAAAGACGGCGGCTCTCAAAGGCAAGCGGGTTCTCTCGACTGATTCACTCGAGACAGTCTACATCAAGACGATGCAGTGATACGACGGCTCTCGGAGCTTCACACTTCCTTGAGCAGCGTCAGCTCTACGAGGCCGAGCGGTCCACGGGGCTGGATCTGCGAGGGACGCACGAATGCCAGAAAGTTCTTGCCGCTGCTCACGCTGAAGCTGTTGGAGGCCAGGGCCGGGGAGTCGAAGGAAACGTTGAATGCCGGGGATGATGGGAGCTGGCGGTCGTAGAGCTGGAAGGAGCCTTTGGTCCCGGTGAAGAGCGTCTTGCCACAGGCCGCAATGGTGAGGGAGCCATCGCCGGAAGATATGTGCTCCAACTCTGGGGACGAGGCTTCGTTGGTGGTGTTTGGGTAGTCGCACCAGGCCCCCCAATCCAGATGGGCGTTCTTCACGACCAGCGAGGCGGAGCCCCTGTCATTGATCTTCACCGCGACCCATTGCCTCGCTCCTGATCACTCAGAGTGTGTGGATCTTGATAGGATTTGGAAGAACTTGCCTTCTTGAGCACTCGATGAAACGATCAAAGTCGCCAGGAAGATGACGCTGATGTGTCCGTTATCCATATTCAAAACATTAGGGCTTAGATTTAAAAGTAGGGTTTAGGGTTTAAGATATTCGATGGCATATTCTGTTAGGGCTTCATGGTGGGCTTGACGCACAGATAAAATGTTGGAGAAGATCTTTGTTGATGGATCTTAAACAAGTGCGCATGTCATATTTCTTTTGAATCAAACTCATAACTCCACCTCTCATCTTTAATTGTTTGTGACTGAGTTCCTACTTTTTGTTGTAGGTGTTATACAACATTTTAGTGGTGTTATTGGCACAGATATCCTTCTATATGAACCAGGCCAACGTGCACTGGCTATGGTGTTCCATGATGTGGAAGCACGACATGCACTCTTGTCTATTCATTATAAAAGGTGGCATAGCTCGAAAGGTCTAATTGGTAGTAATTTCAATCTAATAGAATCTTTCAATGTAATCCTTGTATTAAATTCATGTTTGGGTGTATGCATATGGCACAATACATAATAGTGTCAGTTTTGGTCTAAAGGATGTTTAGTTACTAATGGCTGACTATGAGCTACAATCAAAATTCTTTAAGATACTCTAAATCATACTAAAAACCAAATATATTCTTCCAAGCACTCATTAAAGACCATTTCAGAAACATTTTAAAACACTTTTAAACTTTCTTAATTGCTTTGAGGCCCAGCCTAACCCTTTTCTAACACTGTTTTCTTACACACATGCATCTAATTTAGGAAATGATACAAATAAATTCTTTCAACCATTTCAAAGATGTTGTGTAGGAAGAGATAGTGAGAAATTTATTTGCAACTTTAAAGCATGTTCAAAAAACTGTCCTCAAGGATTTTATCGCAAACACTTTATTCAATACAAGTTACTAGAAGACTCAACTAAATGAAGCTAATTTACAAGATTTATTACGAGGTGTACAACCTACTATTAGCCTAAGGAGGTATATCTATTATATTTAATATGTAACAATAATATCTTTTTTCTTATATTATGTTGTTTATGATAAAATCTTAGATGTGTGAATCTCAAAAGGAGAAGTTGCAATAAAAAATTAACTTCATCCTTGAGTTAAAATGGATTTATCCATATG